AACATTCAGACAAGTCAATTATGTGATAAAAGTAGATTTTAAGTGAAAATTTTAACTGTGTTCTTAGGACACAAAGTGTTACATGTGTTGAACTTTTTGATTTACCAAAAAAAAATAATAAAAAATTAAGAAATGAAGCAAATGTAAATTCATGAATAGCTCCTGACATAAATTCCGCACTGCTTCAAGAACTCAGAAATAATTTCCTTCATCTCATCAAATTTCTACCACAGGTAACGCCACTGAAGAGCAAGAAAGTGAGAGAGAGGTTTGTCCGCCTAAACGGACTAAAGTTCTTCTGATTGTTTTTGCTGTCTGTCTGGTTTTTGCTCTTGGAGGTCTCTGTATTCTGGGGATACTGTGTGAGTATAACTCAAATAGATTATTATATAATATATGGTGTGCCATCACTGCTTCTGCTTATGTTCTGTTTTTAATCAGATGTCAGAGTTTCAGTGCAGCCGTCTGCCAAGAAAACTAATGGCACAAGTGAGTAAAATATATTTCATGATCCAGTACAGAATCATTTTGTCTGTTTTTTATTATTATTTAAAACCATGGTCTGAAGAATGGATCATTGGATCATTTCATCTTGATTGCGTTTCTTTTCTTCTTTTTTTTGGCCTTGTCATGCAGATTACAAAGAAGAGTTTGATGTGCTCCGCAACCAGCATAAGACGACACTTGAAAAGCTGAGCAGATTAAACCGTAAGTTTTATGATCTGAGCCTTGTGCAATGCTAAAAGACCTTTCACACACACAAACAAAATCTCAAAAATAAAGACGTAGTGTGAAATTATGAATAATTAAATCATCACTACCTCTTTTACAAAAGACAGTACAGGTTGTGCACTTTGTGCCATCCACTGGATTCATTCTGGAGGAAAGTGTTACTACTACTCTAAAGTCAAGATGAACTGGACACAGAGTCGAGATCACTGTGTGACTCTAGGAGGACATCTAGTGATCATAAACAGCAGAGCAGGTGTGTTTACTAGTTAAACACTTAAGGCCTTCTGAGATCAGATTTCATATTCTACAGTTAAATTTAGCTCACATTGAAACAAATCAAAATTATATACTTTCTCTATATGTCACCCTAGAGCACAAAACCAGTCATAAGGGTACATTTTTAGAAATTGAGATTTATACATCACCTCAAAGCTGAATAAATAAGCTTCCCATTGATGTATGGTTTGTTAGGCTAGGACAATATTTGGCCAAGATACAATTATTTGAAAATATGGAATCTGAGGGTGCAAAAAAATCTAAATATTGAGAAAAACACCTTTAAATTGTCCAAATGAAGTTCTTGGCAATGCATATTACTAATCAAAAATTAAGTTTTGATATATTTACAGTAGGACATTTACAAAATATCTTTATGGAACATGATCTTTATTTAATGTTCTAATGATTTTTGGCATAAAAGAAAAATCAATAATTTTGACCAATACAATGTATTTTTGGCTATTGCTACAAATATATCCCAGCGAATTAAGACTGGTTTTGTGCTCCAGGGTCACATATTAAGACATTTTTAAGTCCACTAATGACATTTTAGCAATCAAGTCTCGGCAGATTGGGTAAAGGTTAGCATCTTATTCCACCACAAGGCACGGCTTGCTCACTGACAGTAAATGGCAGGAGGGGAACAAATACATCAAAAGTATTCAATTAGATGCGTGATATCACCTAAGAAAGTAATTTCAGCAGTTACATTTGAATGAAATTGTTGCCTAATGATTACTAAAGAATAAAGAATTATTAATTTAGAATAACATTCCTTGAAGAATCATTCTAAAACCAACAAATAATTGATCATTTTGATTTTACATTGACTTAAAATTTTAGGCTATACATTGCTGTGCTCTAAGCCTTATGTGCATTATATCAGGAAATGTATTTTTATTCTTTTCTCCATCAGGATTTTGTTACCTCTAATGTTGAAGAGACTCACTGGATTGGTCTTAATGATGTGGACACCGAGGGTCACTGGGTTTGGGTGAATAACCAGCCAGTTAACAATTCAGTAGAGTAAGATCTTCATTAATCTTGACAATAAATCCTTTGCATTAAAACTAGCTATAAATGAAGGTAATTAGCAGGTCTTTACTTAAACAGAAGCGTTTTGTTTTTTTCTTTCTGCCGATTCTGGATGAAACGAGAGAATGAAACCAGTGAGCCTGATAACTGGACTAAATTTCATCCGGACGGTGAAGATTGTGCTGGTCTGGGTCATCCAGGCGGAGAGACGGATTTCTGGATGGATGCTTACTGTTTTGAAGAGAAAAGATTTGTGTGTGAAGCTGCTGCAGCTGTTTAATTCATCACTCCTCAATAGATCTTTCTCACATTCAAAAAAAATTGTAATTTACTCACCATTATTCAGAACCAACTTCATTGGAATACAAAGACACATTTTGAAGAATGAAGTGTATTTAATACTTTCCCCCCGATATTCTTCACGTTTTGATGCGTATTAGGCCAAACTGGATTACTATACAAGATAATCTTGGCTAGGTTCAGCAAATGCTTTGTATTAAATGTAAGACTTACTATTTTACATTATGATCGAAGTTGCAAAAATGCAAGTTTCCGCTTTTAACACTTTCTTTACGCCCAGAGTTTCCAAGATGGGGGCATCTGCATTTTTGGTAAATTTGTTGAAATTAAATGTTTTTGTTGTTGTTAATTTACAATAAAATTACTTTGGATAAAAGCATCTGCTAAATGCATGTAAAGAAGGTTCTTGCACCTTGATATTTGTCTATGAATTATAGCTGCAATACATTTCAACTTAAAATGTAATTCCCCTAACCTGTAAAATATCAACAATTGTTCAATTAACAAACGGAAGCCAACGTAGGGACATATAAAATAAATTTTATTATCCATTTTTCTAAATTTCTACTGTAGTGGCTTCTATATAGACACCATCATCAGGAAAGACTGCCGGACACTGACACAACATAACAACTGTCTGCTGTGTGTCCGAGCTTCAATATATAATTATTGTATGGAAAAAGAAAAGGAAAAAAAAAAAAAAAGAAACCTAATTTAGTCTCTCTTTCGTTTGTTTACACTCAACATAAAAATGTGGCCATGGGCAGAGAGAGCATGAGTGAGTCTGTTCAGGGCTGGGCACCAGTGGCTGCAGTAACCTGTGTGGCTAGAGCACTGGGAGAGGAGATGACAGGAGAACCTGCGATGTTGGCCATCGGCTGGGACGAGGACATGGATGTGATGCCTCCTACAGGAAAACAGACACAATGCTTTGTCAGAATTTGTGAGCTCAACCAAATGAAAGTTCACTCAGAAACTGACCTGTGATCATACTGGACGTGCTGACTGGAGTGGAGCCAGTGGACAGTCCTGAGGTGGAACCCATCCTCGCCTGGTCCTTCACAATGGGATCTGATACATGACGAGACATGAACACAGTCATGAAATTCATGTTGAACATTGAAGCATAATCAGTACAGCACATTAAACTTCTATTTCAAAAGTGCAAAAAAAAAAAAAATTAAGAAAATCCAGCTTCCACATGACCACCACTTTAGTTCCGACTGAAAGATGGTGCACACCAAGGGCCCTATGATTTCTGCGATATAGAAAATGCGGATAGAATCACAAAATCCAGTCATGAGAACGGAACTCCCAGTACAACAGAGAATGTCACAGAATTTAACAAATTTTGGATGAATTAAAAAATAATAATTTTTAAGAGCATTTCACCGTTTAATTTGATAAAAACTACCATCATATCATATAAACACAGAAACTGAGTCTCAACAGCAACCTCTCAAAATAAAATTTCGGTTTACCTTGAAGAAATTGTGACAAAAAGATAGTACTACTGTACATCTCAAAGTAATATATATATATTTCATAACAAACTTGTTAAAACACGGAGGAATATCACAACTTTCTTCCTTTTTGTTGTGCAGCACTTTGTTTGCAAAATAAAAAGAACAAATTTTTTAGAACTATTAAATTGTTAATGATTTATTCTTTCACTTAAATTCCAATGTTTTTTTATTAAATCATATATTACATAAAAATTGTAATTAAAGTTTAAAGTTAAATTATCAAATTTAAGTTTCATGGATTCACCTGATTAGACATTAAACATTAACACACAGAATTTGGTGAATATCAAACTGAATTTGGGAACAAATAAAGGCCCTAAAACTATTTCATCAACTGTTGTTAAATTGTACAAGTTTTAGGATTCCAATTAATTAGCCATGGTTTAAAAAAAACAAACAAACAGAATCCTGAAAAATTACAACAGGAAAAAAATATAAGGAATTTGTCAAATATAAAAATATTTCATAGGCCTCTACACACCTTTTCATCCTTGCTGAACACCTTTACACTAATTTCATCACAAACAATAGGGTGCGTTTTACAAGAAAGCACACACACTGTTCTATAAAATAAACACATTATGGTTCGAACCGCAGTGATGTTCAAGTTTATATGAATAAAATGCCAGAGAGCAGACACTCACAGAAATAAGGGTGCTCCATGGCCTCACGCGCGGTGAGACGAGCTTGGTGGTCATAGCGCAACAGTTTGTCCAGGAAGTCCAGAGCTTCGGTACTGACCAGGTGCTGGTTCTCACTGTGGACAAACCGTTCCCACCTTTTCCGGGAATGTCTGGAGAAAGAGAAGACGAATGAAAGAGATACAAATCTAAATTGTAGTTAAATAGTATTACATGCATAAAAACAATCCCATATCTCAACGTACCTTCCCAAAATGTCATTGAACCGTGGGTCGAGCTCAATGTTGTATTTGTCGATGTAGTCGTAGAGGTCCTCTGTGCCCAGAACTTTGGCAATCCGTACAAGCTGGAAAGAGAGACAGAATTGGTTAAAAACAGCAGAGGGCAGCAGTCACCACTCGACAGATCAAACCAGCTGAACAGAGCGCTGCAGTCATGACCCAGAAATTAGCATCCTCCTGGTTCCCTCCACAAAAGCCCAATAGGATCTTTCCATGGGCTTTTGGATTGCTACAGAAAATAAGCTCCATGTCCAAATTGCTAATTAAGTACTGAACTTTTTATACATTTATTTTTTATGAATTTATGAAGACAGGCATTAGGACATTGGAACAAACTACAACAAGCAATCAGCAAGCCATTATCAACCTTCCTTTTTATCAGTACAAGGGATTGTGGGAAATATTAGCACTTAAAACTAAAAAATAACACCATCAAAGCACATTCTCTTACATGCTACGATTGGAGACCAATAAATTCTGATCTTACATTTTATTAGATGAATAGTATGCGAATTGTGATTCAGCCACAAAATTGGTCACTATAAAACAGCATGGCAACAATGAATATTTGAAAAGGCCTAAAAGCAGCACGTCTCACCTGATCATAGTTGTCATGTCCATGGAAAAAAGGCTCTTTCCGAAAGATCATACTCGCCAACATGCAGCCTAAGCTCCACATGTCTAAACTGTAGTCATACATCTGTGGGACAAAAGCAACATGAGCTTCAAAAGAGCCACAAACTTGCCAAACAACTAAATGTTGCACTGCTTCTGTATGTGCATGTTTATTTAACAGATGCTTGAACAGATGCTTTTGATGCTCAAGCAACAAACCAAGCAAAAACTGTTCGTATCCCTGCATCTAGTTTCTCGTGTCATTCTCACCTGATAGTCCACCAGCAGTTCAGGTCCTTTGAAATATCGAGACGCCACCCTGACGTTGTACTCCTGACTAGGGTGATAAAACTCTGCTAAGCCCCAGTCTATCAGACGCAGCTAAAACACAAAACGCACACGAACAGACAAGATTCAAATGTGAATTCAGTCAAAGGGGGATTAATTAATAATTCATGATCATGATTTGTGTGATTTGCTCAACATCTCACATCAGCGTCAGTGTTGACGCAGAGCATGCAATTTGTAGACTTTTAAATTCGATCTTGCGCAAATGTGCTTGGCGTCACAGCATCAAACAATCCTTTTCTTTTACTACAGCAAACTCTGATTCTTGATTGGTGCATGTAAGCGAGCTCATCAATATTCATCATTACTCATCAGACTTGCAGAGTGAGATGGCGTAACACAATTGCTGACATGAGTAAATGAATGGGCAGTACCTTTCTGTGTTCATGGTCGATCATTACGTTGTGTGGCTTCACATCTCTGTGCATAATTCCCATACTGTGGCAGTAATCCAAAGCCTGAGAAAGACAGAGAGACACACTTAGAACTAGACATTACAAATACCTGAGATTCCACATCTTCTGACCAATAAATCATTTATAAATAAAAAAGTAGCGGATGAAATATTCCAATATTTAAACTATTTAGAATATTTTCTAGCATAACAAGAAAAATGTATATTCTACAGAATTCAATGCAATTTAAAAATATAGAATATACATTAAAGATAATTATTAAATTTAATAATGGATATAAAATATTTGAGATTAATAGAATCTTTGAATATTATCTTGTAAAATTACCCAAAAAGAAAATGGTGTATATATAAGTTGACTAACAAATCAGAATATCAGCACATTTACTAATACTCACAACAATGTCCCCCATGTTTTTTTCTCAAACAAAAAATAAATTTTCTTAATTTACTCCCACAACTGACTAACAGCAAGTGTACATGAACAACATAACCGTTGAGTAGCACTTATAGGTGAAGTGTGTAACATCTGAGCAACTAGTAGCACCAAACAAAAACACGGAAAGTGGCCCAATTGTGTGCCACTACATATTGAGATTCCCTGATGTTGGCTGACGAGGGGAGAGTTTGAAACACATTTGAAAAATACAGGTAAAAATGGTATAAACAAAAAAAATTTAGGAACAGACTTGTGATACTTTAAGATGATATCAGAAGGAACGT